AGCTTGTGAGTTCCTGAGAGTGCAGCTGGGAGAGCCAGCCGAGGTTGAGAAGGAAGAAGATGACAGTAAATCCAGTGGTGAATTGGACTCGGTGTCCTTCCGACGAGGACTCTCTTTCCGATAAGGGGGCAGCTGCCCCCAAGCGTATGTATGAATTGAGGATTAGAAAGATAAGACAAAATGAAGGCTGAAGGACTCTGAATTGTGCCTTAAAACTTTAGTTTTATTATGGGATGCTCTGGGGGTTCTCTTAAACAGTTAAATCATTGGATAAAAAGATAAAAAAAATTGCATAACCGACTATGTTCAAAGTAATACTAGCAATTTAAGATTAACATTTATATAAGATATTGTTATGATCTCCTATACTTGGGGTTTTAGTTAGTAGTGGTTTTCTTTCCTTTCTCCCTAGATGTAGTTACCCCTTCCTAATTTTTTGTTGTAGTTTGTAGTCTATTAAAAAATGCAATAAAAAATCCCCTCCAGGGGGGCCTAAAAAAAGGGAAGAGGTCTTTCACATCGCTTGCTACCTGCCACTTGTTTTTTTTAGGGGAGAGGCTAAGGGTTGACCTGGGGGCCTTCTGCATGCACAGCAGCCCCTCTCCTAGTCTTCCAAAGCTACGTCCTTGTTTATGAGCTTTGCTTCAGCCTGGCAAAGGACCTCATAGAACGGAAAGCTTAACGGATGGCAGTGGGCCCATCAGTATTGCTGCCAGCTCTTCCTTCCATTCTGTGTGCACAGAATTTTAGTGTGGAAGCAGAATCTGTCTCTGGTACTTATTCCCGCCCCCTCCCCCATTTTCCCCAAAAAGGGTTCTAGTCCTTATGGTGGTATGATTTTAAATAATCTGCAGGCAGTGTCTGCATCATTGGACTCCAGTTCTTTGTGGGGTACCACTTTTAGGCTTTTCATGTTTTTATTTATTAAAATAGCCTGTCACATTTACCTTCTTTACACAAACCACATCACAGCCTGAATGTTTGCTTTGTGCTACCCTTGCTCAGCCTGTTAAGGCCAGAATTTCATGCCTCAAGATCTGAACACACAGAGGAGTGCAAGCCAGAGCTGGTTTAATGTATTGCTGGATTTTTATTCTACCCATTCTCCAAAGAACTTAGACAGCAAACACAGGCCGTTTCCTCCATTTTTTCCTTGCAACAGCACCATGCAGTGGGCTGTGCTGAGTGAAAGAGAGCGATGGTTCGTGGTCATCCACTGAACTGCTTGGCACAGGCTGGGGGCTTGAGTTAATCTCCTTGATCATAGACTGGTTTTGCAGTGCTTGTTACTGCTGCATCCAGAATGTCAAGCTGGGGAAAAGAGAATGAACAACTGCAGGTGGGAAGAGAGGTCGAACTATTGCAGCAGAAATCCTGAGTGGATAGGGACATGCTGCTCTTTCTCAGTGCCGTTTGCATTCTCAGAATGATGAGAAGCCAGTGGAATCAGTTTGCCAGGAGGGGTCCAACATGCATTTGCTTCCCCAGTCACTGTGCTGTTGGGCAAGCTGCAACAGTCTAAACCTGTGATATAGCTGTAGTCTCATTCATCCAGTCTAATTCTACTCATTGGTTGTATGAGACACTCCTACTGACAGGGGTGCTGGAATGAGAAGAGAGCTGGTTGGATGAATTCAGCACCAGATCAAACAGCAGAAGGCTGGTCAGTGGCCACAGGCCCTAAACCCCAAACTCTCTTTGTTGTTCTTCCCCAGATAACCATGACATCATTTCCCTGAAGTTATACCAGCTGACAGTTGAACGGACACCACAAGAGGAACAACGGGACAAAGAGGTCTTTCTTCCTATTGTGGAGAACATGAAACTGCCTGGAAGTAGGTTGGCCTGAAATTGGAAGGTGGGGCTCACGGGGGGTGGGGGGAGCTACAGGAGGAGGATTATTTCCAGTGTAGATGGTGGTGGCTTGCAGGGTGCTTGTGTCCTTTGGAGTGGAAGGTCATCATCTGCTGCAGTAAAGGGGCTCTGCTTGTGGGGGTGAGTTAGGGAGGTCAATTCCTGCTCAGTCATCACAAGTGTCCCCTGGACAGCTAGCAGCTGAGGATCCAGGGAACGTTTGCACTCATGGGCTCCTGCAGCAGTTTGGGATTCCCTTCCCTGTGCTGTGATGAGGAACATGTTGATGAAGCAGCCATGTGGCTCCTTTCCATTCAGTCATGACTCCCTGCCAAGCTGGCAACTATAAAGGGAAAAGACCAGTTGGCTCTGTCCAAGCAATCAGCCTCCTCCTCCCCTTCAGCTCTGTAGGTGCAGGACTGCATGCCAAAGCTGCCCTCTTTTGGAATGGGCTGCTGGGAGGTGCAGCTTCTGTTGTTCAACATCTGGATTGGTTGCACTAAAAATATTACACACATTTTCAAGCAGTAGTGGTCATCGCACAACTCTAGCACAGACCCATCCCTTTTCATATTTCACATGAAAGCAGTGAGATGAGAATACATCAGGTCAAGGATTGCTCTGCCCCAGCATCCTGTTTCTAATAGCAGCCAGCCAGATACTTCAGGGGGCTTGCAAGCAATGCTCCCTCTAAGCTGGGGAGTCTTGTGAGCAAAAATTCTACTTTGTGGGCTACTGGCATTAAAGTTGTGAGTGAGCGATTTGGCTACTGCATAAATTAGTTTGCTTTGGAGCCATCCTTTCTGATTAAGACAAAAATGTATGAGCTGGAGGCTAAAAAACTGTGAGCCAGCTCATGCTAACTCAGCTTAGAGGGAATACTGCTTGCAAGCAGGGCATAATAGAATGCTTTTTCCTTGTCCCAATGATCTGGTACTCTGAGGTCTCCTGTCTCTGAACATGAAAGCTCTATTTTAGCTAACTAGTAATAATTGATCACCTAGTCATCTCACCCGGGAAGTTCTTCTAGACATGGAGGATGCAAACACGGTGGTGGTTTGTGAATCATGTTCCCCCTAAGCTGTGGAGCCTTGTGAGCAAAAATCCTACTTTGTGAGCTGCTGGCATTAAAGTTGTGAGCGAGCAATTTGGCTGCTGCATGAATTAGTCTGCTCTGGAGCCCCATCCTTCCTGAGCGAAGACAAAAATGTGTGAGCCAGAGGCTAAAAATCTGTGAGCTAGCTCACACTAACTCAGCTTAGAGGGAACACTTAGAGGGAACACTGTTTGTGATACCTTTTGTGTTTGAGCATCTGAGTGTGACCTCTGTCTGTCTTCTGCAGTGGAGGCTCCGCTGGAACCAATGAGTGGCCTTGCTCTGTTCTTGATTGTCTTTTTCTCGCTGGTTGCCTTGGTCTTTGCCATTGTCATTGGAGTTATTGTCTACAACAAATGGCAGGAACAGAGCCGGAAACACTTCTACTGATCACGAAGCATCTTGGCCTATTCTTTGGGGGTTTTGCCTTCGAGACTACCGCTAGTGGCATTGGCAGGGGTGGTAGCAGATGCAGGTGGAGGCTAGTCTATAAGGAGTATCCTTTCCTAGCCCTGCCACAAGGACTGCAGTCCATTTGGATCTTGAAAACTTGTAATGGGACTGACTTCTGGCTTGGGGACCTGCTTGTTGGGCCCCCAGTTGGGGAAGCAATTGTACCTGCCCTTTCCACTTTGCCTTTTTCCAAACTGAGCTTACCAGCCCCGGCATTTCTACAAGACTTGATGGGTATGAACATATCCTTGATCATGTGATGTGAAATGAACTTCCATGTCACTGTGGGTCGATCAGGAGACCACCAGCCAATGAGGCCCACAGTTGGCAACAGCTGCTGTCCCCCTATGAAGATGGCCTTGCGGTTGGAATCCAGGAGCTTTGTTTCGGCAGGGGGCAAGATGGCGATGCTTGGTGTGCTGCGGGGGCGGGGCGGGGACCAGGCCATGTAGTCAATGCCTTGCTGGGGGCTCCTTTTCAGTAGCATCTTGGGCAAGTCCCTGCCTTGACTAGGAAACCTCAAAACCTAGAGCTGTAAGAAATAGTGACCACTGTTCTCTGATCCACCACCCAAATATTCCTTGTGCTGCTTGTGGAACAGGGGAAAGATGGATGCTAGCCTGGTGAATGTAACTCCTTCCCCTCCCCATCCTGAAGAAATAGAAGTGTCTCATCTCCGTTCCCCTTCCATGCCTTTTGTTTTTAGACTTACTTGAGACTTCTGATTATATAAGGTTGGGCTTAGCCGCTGGCCCTTGCTAAGTGAATGAAGGTGCCTTTCTTTTCCCAAAGGTAAAGAGGCGAGCCTTGATTAATCTGCCAGGAGATCATGGTGACTTCGATACCTAAATGGGGGGTATCCACAGGAACCCAAAGAAGGACCTCTGTTGTCCACAGTGGTCTGAGCCTTGCTATAGGTCAGGGTCGGTGCCTTGCTCTAAGGCAGACGGTTGTGGGCGATGTTTCAGGGTTTACGAATGCTCCCCAGTTTTGCCCACCATTATGAAGCAGCCCTGGAACATTCTAGAGAGTGCGTCTTCAGTTCAGGCACACTGTTGCACCCCACGTGTGTCCCGGCATCGGTCCAAGAATCCACTGCAGTTGCACTGTTGCTCCACGGCAGGGGCTTACTCACGCTGAAGTGAAAAGGTTTTTACAAAGGCAGAAAGCTGCTTAAAAAACCAACAAAACTACTGTTCTTAGGACAAACACAATGTGTTTTCATTACTGCGATGCTGCCTCATTTCTTTCTCTGAAGGAACTTGACTGTACCTGCCCTCCGCTGGTGCTACAACACCCCAGTTCCCAGTGACTAAAGAGATCCCCCTCCTCCTTCACCCACCCAACACACACACACACACACACACACACACACACACACACACACACACTCTCACTCACTCTGATGAGGTTTCCCTTTTCGTATTGGTCAGGATATTTCTTATCTTTGGGTCTCGGCAAGAATTGACCTTGTTTGAAGGAAATGTCCATTGTCACTGGGTTTTGTTACCATGGGAGTCGTGTGCTGCCTTTCACATGTCTCCTCCTCTGTTTGCCGGAGGAGTAGTTGTCTGACCTCCAGCTCATGGAGCTGGGTTTCAATCCATAGGGGAGAAGGGCAGTGCTGCTTTCTACCAGTGTTGTGAAATGGTTCTGAGGAGAATAACCTGTAGTTGCACTGTACGTACAGTAGGGCAGCCTTGCCCTGCCCTCTGATCACTGGACTACGACATGCTATCTTAGCACCCCTCCCGCCCCTTTCCCAATGTCAAGGGTGTTTTTTAAAAGGTCATGTTAATGTGATGTTGATGTGTTTGAAGCAGGGCTTGTACACAAAGCTTGTGATTTTTTTAAGGTTCTTAAAAGGAGGCTTCCTCAACCTCATAATTAAAAAAAACACACTTGAGTTCTTCTGTTTTCTTCCTTTGGTGCCACCATTCCTAGTGTTGGCGTCATTCTCTTTCCTAGAGTGATCCCAGCCAATCAGCAATCACAATACTGAGCACGGTAGTACCACAGTGCTATGTAGCCTTTGGGGTTTGGCTGTGTAGTGATGCCATTGGACGAAGCTGGTTCAGCACAAAGGCAGTGTTTCCTTGGCTGGTCACGGGGCTAATCCCAGCTGTCTGCCTCTGCAGGGCAAAAGCACTTGGGAGTCTAGGCATTTCTGTCCCCTTTAGGCTTGATCCCAGAAAAATTGTCAAAAACGGGCAGAGAGATTTCCACTGCTGCAAATGTTTGCTTCTTTTCTTGTGGTTCATCTCTGAAGTGAAGCAAACTACCCTCCTTTTCCACTTGTCTGGATTGTAACTGGCCACATCCTTTTTGGAATGCAAGTTGGATCAGAACACTCAATCTTGAGACTTGGAGGAGTGACAGAAGCCACAGGACTGATTCGGATGAACCAGAAATCCTAGAAACGTCATTGCTTGTCAGGGCGCTGTCCCTGGGTGAGAACCAGCCTGTGCTTTGCCCAAGTGGCCTGTCTGTTTGCGTGGTACCCTTTACAGTTGCTGTGAGTTGCATCAAATTTCAGAGGCCTTTCTGCTGATAGCCATAATGGAGGGTCTCTCTCCTGCGACTGCCTTAGAATGGGATATTTTAAAACTCAGTCAGATAGGTAGTAGGCTGAAGGGTGGATGGAAGCTCAGAGGCTCCAAGACTGCCACTGATGGTCAGGCCCACAAGCAGGAAATGTGGGGAAAGGCCCGTTGGGTGGCAACATACCTCAAAATACCAGCTGCTGGGACAGGCAGCAGGAGGGCACCATTGCATGCTTTCTGGGGGTGCATGTACCCGACTGCTGTGGGGAAGAAGGTAGTGGCCCTGATGGACATCTGTACTTTGTCACCAGCAGGAGCCGTGCCCTTCCTCTGTGAGCACCCCCCCCCTTTCTGGGCACTCTTAAATGTGGCTGCTGTCTTTGAAGTCACAAGCTGCTTTTCCAAAATGTTAGACTTTCATATAGAGATCATGCATGTGATTCCCTTTGTGTCCAAGACCGCTTGCTCAGTGGATTGTGAAAAAAAGAGAAAGATTTGTGTGTCCCCCTGCCCAGCATTTCATAATGGAAGCTGGAGGTAGTTGGTGCTCTGTAGTAAAACAACAGCCTGACAGGGATACGTGCAGCCTCACTGCGGCTTGGAAAACAGACTGCTCCATGCCTTCTTGTAGCTTGAAACAAGACAGATGACCATACCCTGGAGCCTCCGATGTGCTCTTGCTTTGGTGCTGGCCAGGTAGCCCATTCCCCTTCCTGCTGCTGGCGAGCATTCTTCCTCCTGGTCTCACTGTCGCAAGTACCTCAGGTTCTCTAGGGACCTATTTCCAGCAGAAGACAGAACAAGAAAACTGTATCCTTCCATAGTAGGGTTGCCAAGTTGACTTACCTCTCCGGCGGGGGACTTTGTGGAAGCTCCCGGCATGTGTGTGCGCGCGCCACATGTACGTCACAGGGAAGTGACGTCATGACGCCAGGCACGCTGGGGGCGGGGCCACAGCCATTTGAGGGGAAAACTCGATGTTTTCCCCTCAAATGGCTGTGCCCCGCCCCCAGCGTGTCCGGCGTCATGACGTCACTTTCCTGTGACGTGCACGCGGGGGTGGGGTTTCCCCTGGGGCCCGATTCTGCGGGGGCGGAAATCGGGCCTCCAAAGCGGGGGGGGGGGGAATCTGCCCCCGGGGGGATTTGGCAGCCCTATTCCATAGTTGTGACTGTGGGGCTGTTGCAGACTTTGGGAGCACGGTGGCGGGATTACACAAGCTAGGTTAGTTTTGAAGAAATGTGCAGGGTCAGGTTGCCAATTTCCAGGTGGGGCCTGGAGGTCTCCTGGAGTTCCATCTGACCTCCAGACTACAGAGATTACATTCCCTGGAGAAAATGGCAGCTTTGCAGGGTGGACTTCATGGCATTATATCCCTGCTGAGCTCCTTCCCCTCCCAAAATCCTGCCCTCCCCAGGCTCCACCCCCAAACCAGCAGGATTTTGCCAGTCTGGAGTTGGCAACCCAGCACAGGCTTTGCATGTAGAACACTCCAAAGCCACTCCTTAGTATTTCCAGGGAGCAATACCAGAAAAGACTTCTGCCGGAGGGTTTGATAAACAGCTGCCACACAAGAGTGAGGGTATTGCGCTAGATGGCCCAGTGGTTGAGCTTAATGGAAGGCAGCCTCATCCATTCATATAGGTTCCAAGTGAAGGCATGGATCTGTCCTTCTGTCTTAAACGCTGAATTACTCATACTGCCCCTAGCAATGCTGATCATTTCCTCGCGTTCTGTTCCTGGCCTGGACCATCTGTTCTGTTGTTGAGAGACAGATTGGTTCTGAAGTCTCAGGGGATGCCTCCTTGCAGGAGTGGCTCCAGTAGCTAAAAACCACAGGAGTGTCCTACCTGGAATGCAGGGGTCCCAGATGTGGTCATAGCCAATTACCGTTTTCCATCATAAGCGGCAGTGAGGCTTGTTGCTTCAGTAGGATGGTTCTGTCTCTTCCTGGCAGTGTTGGCCCTTTTTCTACTTGATGACAAAGCAATACTGCAGCCTGGAAGCACTGTCATTTTCAAAGAATCTCTTCTGTTTTTGCCTGATCGCTTAAAGCCTTGTCTGTGCTTTTGCCTCTTTTCTCCCCACCCCCCTTCTGTACATGTAATTTTGTGTCTTGAAATAAACATGCACAAATGCCAAAGCGTCTTCCTTGCCTTCTGGGTGGTTGATTTTTATCTAGTCTGTGCAAAGGGGTCTGATTTTATTAGTAGCCCTTGATGCCTGCTCTGCTGCCTAGGGAAGGAGGGCTACTCCCTGTGGCACGATGGTACAAGGATGTGCGAGTGGCAGCACTTCACCCATCTGCACCATCATCCCAAGGGATTCCTATTCTCCCTTGAGTAGGGGCTGTGGCTCAGGGTTAGAGCATGCAGAAGGTCCCAGGTTTAATCCTCGGCATCTCCAGTTAAAAGGATCTGGCAGTAGGTGATGTGGAAGACCTCTGTCTGAGACCCTGGAGAGCTGCTGCCAGTCTGAGTAGACAATACTGACTTTGATGGACCAAGGGTCTGATTCAGTATAAGGCAGCTTCATGTGCCCCCCTTCCCCAACACATCCACGCTTGCTGCTGCCAGCCAGCCACACACTAAACAGGGCTTTTCCGCATGGTTTTTTCCATTGGCCCTGGCCTGTTACTGTTTCAGTTTATCTCCTGATCTCCACATGCATTTGTGTGCTTTTCATTTTCCCTTTGGTTTTTTGTTTGTTTCCCCCCCTGTTTATTTTCCAGTTGAGACCACTTTTTTACCCCAATATTTTTCTGGAAGCTGATTTTGATTCCGCTTTTTCCGAGTGTGTAATTTTTTTTTCCTTTGTCCCACCCCCTTCCAGCCCACTTTTCAATGATTGGACCGCTACTGTTAAACCACTCCGTCTATTGTGTTGCAATGACAGTTTAAGCAGGTTTGCTGAATTCCAGCTTTGATTTTTTTTTTAAAGTTAAAGTCTGTGGTTCCTTCCCTTGGGGAGATGTAAGGAAAAAGACATCTCTCCATAAGGAAAGAGACTACATATTTTTTTAAAAATGAAAGCTGGAAAATTCAGAGAACTTGCTTAAATTATTACTGTGGCACTATAGTATTATATTGCTATTTTAGGGCCTTTTTTAAAAAATAAGGGAGGTGATGTGATGCCACCAATAATGACATCACCCTCCCTTGAAAATCCTCATTGTTTAACCCACATGCAGAAGAAAACAACTGATTGCACAACTGTAAAAATGCATAGGGGGGCATATATGTGGAAGAACTCTGACTAAACCGACGTCAGTGCTTGTGGATTGACTCCCAAGAAAATCAAGAGTCACTCGAGCATGTGTAAAAGGTCGGACTCTTGGGGCAGATGCAGGGGTGGCTTCCAAGGTGGAGCTGGACCACTGCACTTGCTATACAAGTACACAGCTGATTGGCAGCTGCCTTGGGCTGACTAAAGAGAGATCCTGCTCCATCTGCCTGCTGTGAGGTTTGGGGCATCCCAACTTTGTACGTTCCAAACTTTTCTATACCTCATCTTCCCTTATGAGGCAGCTTATAACAATAAAACATCTGAAAATAGTGAAATTGATGGGGTACTTCTTAATGAGCTACCCCTTTGCCCTGACATTTGATACATACGTAGCCAGAGCCACCCCTATTACTAGAAGAGTTTGGAAATGAGACAATAAATTATTTGCAGGCCTCCCAGAAAGCTGAAATTTGGCAGACACAAATCTTAAACCTCGAGGTCACTAGAAACAGACTGGAAGTAGGAACTCTTTAAAAAAATCTGATTCTCAACTCTGACACAGAGCAAGCAAAATTGCACACGGCTTGAAATATGGGGCTAGGGGAGTTTGGGGAGAGGGTATTTCCCACAATAACCAAGAATGTGTATCCGTGCTTGTACAAGGCAAGCTTTGCTGCCACCTCCATGGCTCCCTTTATGGTAGCGGGGAGGGGACAGATGCTGTTGGAGAGTAAGCTGGGCAGCTGAAGAATCAGCTGCCTGACGGCCCCTTGTGTTCAAAAGGCAAGAAGAGCATGAATGGTTGCTTTTTAGTTCTAAAAACAGAGTACTCTAGATGCAGCTATTGCCCAGATGAAAAAAAATATTACTTTTCAGTTTGCTTATAATTAAAACAGCAGTTACAAATCACAAAGCACGCTTCCTTTGTTCGTACAAGATGCCAACATATGTCCCAGCAGATGCTGTGTCAGAAGCAGGGAGAGGCAGACAGAGGAATGTCTCCTCGAGGGGGCCTCCTGCTGTGCTGATAAGATCTTGGATTAATTAAAAAACCCCTAAACATTTAAAAAGAAAACCCTGTATAATGTATTTTAAACAACATAAGGTTTTTATTTAATGTAGTGGTTGGACTATGCCTATGGAGACCCAAGTTCAAATGGCCTAAGGTTCCTGGTTGCCCCGAGGCCTCTTTTCATTCCCTTTCAGCCTAGCCTACCTCACAGGCTTGCTATGAAGAAAAAATGGTTGGGTGAGAGGCCCTATACAGTCACCCTGAGCTCCTTGGAGGATGGGGAGCCTAAAAATAACAAATCAACAATTCAATTGAGATTGCAGTCCCATAAGTTCCATTGTACTTACTTCTGAGTAAATATACACAGGGCTATTACAAGCCCACTTATGCTTCGCGTTTTATTTTAATTGAAGAGGATTTGAACAGTTTGTTTAGGAACTTTGCAGTGGGGCTCCTCCCCCTTCTTCATGTGAAGTGGGTCTTGGCTATCGTTGATGCCGACAATTGTGGTTGAAATCGGAGAGCCTGTGTGATGGTGAGAAGACTTGGGGGGGCTGTTGCCTGGCTCGTTGGGAGGTTCTGCTCCTGAAGTCTCTTTGGAAGCAAGACAAGGGTGGGTGGGGGTGGGGTGGGGGGCTCCAAAGGAAGATTCCACTTCTGGACATCAGGAGCAGTTCACAGGTATGTGGTGACACTTGGAGATCTGAGTTGCTGCAGCAACAGTAGCTACCAAGTCTCATTTTGGTCGATGCTTGTTTTCTTTCTTAGAGGGAGCAGTTATTTTGACGGTACTTCTCATTGGATTTATTAACTTCATGGCCAAGTAGCCCTGAGAAAAGAAGGAGGAGGTGGTCAGGCAGAACATGGAGGTGGGGTGGGGGAGGCAGGAAGTAAGCAAGCCAGCAGAACTGCAGTCCCTGTCTTTCTCTCTCTGGCATGACTCACAGCAGTAGGGAAGAGTTTGAGCCCCTCCACTTCAAATACCTAGCTCCTTGGTGAGCCAAATTTCCCATCCCCTCAGCAAAGGACTCACTGGGGCTGAATAGATGAAGGCGGCGAACAACAGGGCCAGCAGCAGGAAGCAGAAGAACATGATGATCTTCCACTTGCTCTTCTGCCAGACGACATACTTGACGCTCTGCATTGGGGCTGTGAACCACAGGAAGGATGTCTCTGGCCTCCTGGCCAGAGGGAGGACAATGGAGATGAAGATATTGTCAGATTTTGGCTATGACAGCTGCTCCCAGCTCTCGCCCCTCCAACCCCTTCCCGTCACTGGCAGCCAACATGAGTGAACGTGGCTGGGGGGGGGAAAGCACCAGGATGCTTTGATACTCAGAACCCGGTGTTTCTGCTCCCCCCCTGCCCATTCTGAACGGAGGCCACTTTCACACTGTGGTCTTACTCTGGTGGCTTCAGGACCGGGTTCATATTTGGCTCCTCCCTTCCCTTCCCAGCCGGGCGTTCTTCGGCTTCCTTTTCTGTCAGCAGCTCCAATGACATTTCAACCTTCCCCTAGAAAGCCAAAGAGGCAAAGCCACAATGAAGGGAGACAGGCGGCCAAGGTAAGTTCAGCACTAAGTAGGTTGGGGTGGGTGTGTGGCTGTCTCATTTCCTCTCCCTGCCCCTCCCAGTTGCAATCATGTCATCACATTGTAGGTTTAGATGGATGGCTACATGAGGTGTACTCGGGAGTAGGGGGAAATGGCACAAGGACGGTAGAGTCTGGGTGGTTTGCAGGTGAGCCCCCCAAGTTCCTCATTCTGCCATTACTGTCTGCCTTCTGTTCCCAAATGAAAATGTACATCAGGCCAACCAGGCTGGGTTGTAGCTTGAACACAATGTCTTCTCTTTCCTTACCGAGACCCTCCGCTTGTCATCCTCAAACACAATGCACGGCCACCAGCCCCTCAAATTCTTCTGCGCAAACAAGGAGATCCGCTTGGGCTTCTTGCGATGAAACGGAGAGGAGTCACGGCTGCCCTCCAGCAGCATTTTCACAGTGCAGTCACGGGGCCGTTTGGCCGGTCGCGGAATGCTGGTCAGGTTGAGCTCCAGAACTCCTGCAGACAGAAGGGGAAGCTTGGTGGTGGTGGTTGGACTTTGGTCTCCCAACTAGGGTTGCCAGATCCAGACTGGGAAATTTCTGGCGATGTGAGAATAGAACCTGGGGAGGACAGGGACCTCAGTGGGGTACAATACCATAGGGTCCACCAGCCAAAGCATCCATTTTCTGTGTAGTCTGCAGCTGTGACTCCATGGGATCCCCAGGTCCCACCTCAAGGCTGGCATCCCTGCTCCCTACTGTAAGCAATGGGCTTTCAAATTTCCTCTCTTCAGTGCTATATTCATACATTGGGGCACAGTGAACATCAGTTCTGAGGTTTTCCTTACTGTAAGCAATGGGCTTTCAAATTTCCTGTCTTCAGTGCTATATTCATACAGCAATGCTTGCGCTGCCCCAGAACTCTAGCATGGTACTGAGAACTTAATGTTCTGGGCCACATGTTCAGTTTATGTGAGGTATTGACTGGGCCTTCGTGTGTCTTGTAAAAGAAGCCCACAAATGGCACATGTTCATTTTACATGGATTGCCAATGAGGAAAAACTCAACTATCCTCAAATAAGTGTTTGATGTGCCCCCAAATATTTTGAGACTACTGTCTTCATCAAGGGTATAACCTGGATAAAAAGAAGGCAATTGCAAAATCGGAGTGAATATACAGTCTGTTCTTTTAGTCTACTATTTATGGTAAAAGAAACATTGCAAATTCTTTAAAAGAAATGTTGTCTCTCTTGATAGACTAATCAGAACAGACACTAGGGCACAGTGAACATCAGTTTTGAGGTTTCCCTTTTTTACTTTCCTATATTAGTCCCCCACCTTTCCTGGTGGATGCCCTGGTTGAATTGAGAACAAGCTCTAGAGTATGACCCCCAAATCCTTTGCAACATATAAGGCTTTCTTGGCAAACAAATCAATTTAGAAACAGTTCTCTGAACATCCAAAGCAGGACTCGCTCCTAAGGATGGCAAGGGGGGGGGTCACCAAGGCCACAAGGCTGGTAAAGGGCCCACCACTCTCCTGGCAGTGCCATTGTACTCTAGAAAGTCAAAGACAGTATGCCCCAGTCCTTGTTGGCATGCCCCCCTCCTTTCAAATCAATTTAGAAACAGTTCCCTGAACATCCAAAGCAGGACTCGCTCCTAAGGATGGCAAAGGGGGGGGGGTCACCAAGGCCACAAGGCTGGTAAAGGGCCCACCACTCTCCTGGCAGTGCCATTGTACTCTAGAAAGTCAAAGACGGTATGTCCCAGTCCTTGTTGGCATGCCCCCCACCTTTACCAGGTTCAGGGGGCTCATTGCAACTGCTGTGCATAACAGTCCTCAGAATCTTGGTGGCAGTTTGAAAGTCACTTGCTAAAACTCATGGAGTGGACACTAAGAGGCCAGTTCTTCATGTGCCTTCTATCTCGGACACATGGGTGTGTCTGTGTTATAGTTAAATGGCCATAGGAATTATCCAAAGGGAAACCATAATATTCCTTTGGAAATATTCATGGAAATATTTTGAAATTGGTCCAACCCAAAGTATAGAGATGGACTTCATTGAAACTTGTAAACTGGAAATCATTATGTTGTGTTAGGACAAAGAAAAGCTTTGTGGGGAGGAGTCAGGAAGAGGCACTTGCCACCTGGCACCTTCTTGAGACAAAAATGTTCTCCTTACCGAGAAAATCATCAGCTGAGAACTTGTCGTTATCCCAAATCTGGATGATCAGCTTGGGGGGCACTTTCTGCATGGTTTCGTCCAGACTCCAGAAATGTTGCTGCAAAATTGGCAGGAGAAAACACAGCTGAACCAGTAGACCTCCAATGTGCCTCTCAGGTGCAATTGATCCAACTTTTCCCTCCAGGAAATTTTGCTAGTGCTTAGAGGAGATGACCCCTCCCAGCTGAGGGGAAGGGGCAGGTACACAGACACAGATCAAGAATCAGCAGGCCTGAGCTTGGGAAGAGAAAAGCCAACCTAGGCAGGTGTGAGTTGGTGGAAGCCCACCTCTCTCTGGGGATCTGATGAGGGATGGTGGGTCAGCTACACTTCAAGAGTGTGCCCTTGCCTCTGTTGTGTCCTACTTGTCCATTTATAAAGACAACAAATTTTACAAAAATGCCATAAATCTCCAGTACTCTCTCCTCAAAAGGAGATTCTTGTACAAGCTATCCATGGAATAAAGGCAGACAAAGGTAATTCCTGCTTTGCAGCATGCAAGACCAGCAGAGGATTCATGCCCCCCATTGATCAAAGCTGAAAATGAGCCAGTAAGGGCAAGAACTCCTGCATTCTTTAAAACTGCCAAGAAATCTTTTGGCCTGTGCTCCTAGGATATTCAGGAGTAGGGTTGCCAGCTCTGGGTTGGGAAATACCTGGAGATTTTGGGAGGGGAGGCTGACAAGAGCAGGATTTGGGGAGTGGAGGGGAGGGACTTCAATGGGGTATAATGCCATTAAGTCCACCTTTCAAAGCGACCATTTTCTCCAGGTAAGCTGATCTCTGTAGCCTGGAGATCAGTTGTAATCCCAGGAGATCACCAGACACCATCTGGAGGTTGGCAACCCTATTCAGAAGGGATTTTTAAAGTGAAAGAGGGACTGCGAAAGCCCAGCACTGCATGGAAGAAAGCCCTGTCCCTTAATTCTGTGGAGCCAGACTGCAGTTTATTGCTGGGAGACACTCTAGACATGCCCAGAAGAACCTTGATTATATATTACTTGGATGTTTAAAAAAAGATGGGAGGGGTAATGCTAAATGGGTCTGGTGGGAGAAGTGGGCTACAAATCCAACTGGGTGTACGAAATACTTTTTTCAGTTTACTTGACTGCGTAAGGCCTGGGGACTAGATAAATATATGCACTGAGATGGAGTCCGAGTTGTGTTTTAAGGAGTCATTTGCACATGAATAGAGTGTGGAATTGCAGTTGCTCTAGAATGGGCGGTCCACTGAAAGCAATGCAACATGCACAAATGATGTTCATACTCTGATGCACCTTTAGTTGTGCATGGAGTTATGACTGCAGTTGTTGATTCAGAAGGGGATGTACATGAGGCTCTTAGCTGGATTTGGGGAACATGGTGGGGGTTCTCTTAGCTTTGAGAAAGTCAACACACAACCTGCCTTAGAGGAAGGCCAGAAGCTTTAAAAAAAATCATATAAAATACTTATGGCCATTTTTACCCACCTTTTTGGTGAGGACGCAGACCTGCTCCATGGGGAGATACTCCATGGTAAACACAAACCTCCAGTTGAAGTTGCCTTCTCCTGCCAGAGACCTATAGTGGACATCCGTCTTTTGCTTGTCCTCTTCCAGGCCATCCAGCCATCTAAAATCAACATAGAAGGAGTGTTGGAGTCACTAACTGGATCTCTTCTGCCCCATCCCAGATTGTGGGATGCAGCTGGCACATCAGATATGAAACTTGACTTGTGCAATCCTGCTACCAACTTTGGGAATGAGGTCCCTGCCCTTTCACAGCCCTTGTTCAATGTGGTGGTAGGAGCTGCAAGAACAATGGAATAATAAGTGCCTCCCGATGTCATCACCATCATGGTGTATGATGTAGCGCATGTCTCCATCTATCAGGGACTGTTTCTAGAAAGTTGGAAGATGTGCAGTTATATCCAGGGCTCAAAATGGGGTGGGATGCCATCCAAATGTTTTTTTCAAGTGACCCGAAAAGCATTCAACTCCTTTTTCAGTAGATTAAAACATCTCAGGAGGAACGGGGTCATATCATCATTCACCAGGGAAAAGTTTCATGCTCATGCCGGGCCTGTCTGAGCAAGGACAGTGGGAATGGGAAATAAGTTTTGCTGAGTTTAGGGCTACACCCATTGGAGGAAGATGGACGAGGGAAGGCTAGACGGAAATAGTCATTGAGTTTCTCCATTTAGGCTTGCCCAGGCCACTGTTGTTTGCGGAGGGCTGGGACTGGGACAGACAGATACTAGTGATGAGGCATGCATGCTTATGGAGACACAATTTGTTGGCACTTCACATGTTGCAGGAAGTTGTCTCTCCAAGTGCCTGCCCTGCCTGCACAGTGCCTCCCTCACTCTCCCAGTTCCAAAAACAGCTCTGGCTTGGGGAAAGCAAGAAGATAGAAAGAGTCTAATTTGCAGAGCTTGCTGAAATTGGCACTGTGGGTGAGAAAGGGACATCCTTGTACTAACAACACTTCTTATTCTCCCTCTAGGGAGGCACTGCATAGAATTACACAACAAAAATATTTGGAACCTCCTTTGAAGGTATGCCATACTTAATATTAGGCCATAAATATTTTTGACTTTGTTTATAGTAACTCTATTCGTGGTAATGATTATATACCTAAAGATGGTGAATAGACTGCAGGCTACACGAAGTCTGGCCTAATATGAAATTTTTTTTTTACCCCACTTCCCATTTTTCCAAACTCTGAGCACTGATTATACACTAATATAATTTCCTTGAAGCATTACCACTGTAGAGTCTTTGAGTCTCAGAACCCCCTCTCCCCCCACCTGGATGAAGGTCAGACCAAATAATATTCTGGAAGATTCACAAACAGATCTCTAGCCCATTTTTATAGCTAAACAAAAGCTGCAAGGAAATGGTTCTGACTGGGGCTGTGCTTGGGACTGGGAGTTAAGCTATTACTCATAAGGGCTTTCCTGACTCCAAAAGACTTCCAGGAGCTACTGTTTGGCCTGTTGGGGAACATTCAAACAGCACACCATCAGCTTATGTGTTTCCTCCAGTGGAGCACATAGCAACTTGGTGGGAGGAGTAGCTTATGGTTGGGAAACCAGCATGGAGTATGTGTGTGTGGAGCGAGACCCCTAAGTCCTCCGTCCTGCAGTTCAAATCCTGGCCCTGCAGCTAATACTTTAAAAACGTGTCGGAGACTCACAGTGCAATCTGATAGGGCTGCCAATCTCCAGGCTATAAGTTCAATGGCCTTCATTTTATAGACTTTTGCTGAGGAGGGGATTGGTGGCAACAAGATGAATGCAGTGATGGGCTCAGCTGGCCTACTGTCACAGGAGGGGAAGGGCAGGCAGTGGGGCTGAGGATGAAGGGTAGAAAAAGCAGGAGGTGGAGGGGCTGAGAAGGCAGGAAAACACAGAGTCCAGCAAAAGCAAGGATGGAAGGAAGAATGGATCAGATGAAGAAGAGAAATCCAGTGAGAAGAATCTGCCCATTCTCTCCCTGCATTCTTCTCCACCTTTCAGAGGAGAGGAACATGATCCAGAATTGGAAGATGGGGAAGACTGTTCGTGTACCAATTCATAACAGCTTCCTAGATCTTTAGCTGCAGGTCTCTTCTTTTTGTATCATTGCTTTTGCTAATTGTAAACTGCCTTTAGTTCTTTGGAGAAAGCCAACACACACATTTGTGAATGATTTTTTTAAAAATTCCAAGTGGGGCATCAAATAACAACCTAAAAGGAACTCTAAATGGGAATGGTAGTAGATCTCCAGGAAGAAGTAAGGGCAGTCATTTGACAGTTGGCCACTCAGTGCAATCCTAAATAGTATTTCAACTTTTTCAGTCCACTGAAGGCAAGGGCATAACTCTAACTTAGGACTGCGCTGTCAGTCCTGCAGAACAAGTAGCTGTGATTCACCCATTGCCCCTTGGCTTGGTACCCTTTAACATAAATGTCGCTCATCCTGTCTCCAAAAATATTAGTGTCCTCCAGATCCACATCCATTGTGTTCCAGATGATGCATCGGAGTTCATATCTAGAGAGAAGAGAAGGTAAGTTTGTTTGCCGGTGGATGTTTGGAGAGATACTTTCCCTGCTGCACCCAAGCACCAGGTCTGATCCAAACGAACTTTTCTAGTGCACAGAGAGACTTTCTGTAAGTCCCCCACGAGCATTCAAGGCTAGTTTACATAACTGCTATAACATGTAGGATGGAGAAGGAAGCGCACAGGATCCCTGACTGGTTGTTTTAAAGATTTGTGTAAACTGCCTTGGATGCCTTTTTTGCAAAGCAGAAAAGCAGGATATACATTATTCAAATTAATAACCCACAGCACAGGTAGAATGTCATGTATGAGCTAATGTGGACATCATATTCTACTAATGCCATACAAGTCTATCTACCCCATTTTGGGGTATAGGAGTCTCCTGCACGGGACCCATGTAGGTACAGCTCAGCTTACACTTAATGGTTTATGCAGATGGGAAGAGCATGTTGGATCCTACATTCCAGGTGTCAATGGAAGCCAGCATTCCCCTTGATCATATTGTAAAAGGAGAAGGAATGAAATTAATGCAAATGGGAAAGAAACATAGATAAGATAATTGCAACATCCTTGTCTCTGAAACAGGACACCCTGTTAGTATGTTTGGTGGGGAAGAGAGGGCTATTGGTGGCCAGATGGAGACATTTGGAAATTGCATATCAGCTATAGCCTCTCAGTTAATCTTATTGAAAATCAGCTGGACAAGAGTAATTTTAATCTGAATTTTAAGAGTTCAGGGTATGCATATTCACTTACAACTTGGGCCTCCTTGGGGTGATATCAAAAGCAGGTCCTGGTTCACCTAAGCTTTCTGGGAAGGCATCAACCCACATCTGGATTTTACCCTGGATATTAGAAGGATGAAAAATGTCCAAAAAAAATTCCTCAGCACTGCAGTCTTGCCAGTCGGGAAGCTGGCCTTCCCGGCCGTTTCTTGTGTTACTAAAAACTTTGTTACCTTGAAAAGTAGATCTCCTGCTGTCCCATGTCCACTAGCCCACCCTATTTCTTTTTAGGGCAAGAATCACCTCCCCCCTTCTGCATTCTAAAGGTGCCAGCAAGGACGTGGAGAGAAAATGGGAATGGGAAATGGCCTTTGTAAGGTCTGAATTGTCCCAAGCCTTTGGACTGGTTTCAAGGAACTCTGCGAGGAATAGGGATCCCAAGTCCCCCCGGGGGGCAGGGAAACCCCCGCCCCAGAGGCCCGTTCCCCGGCGCTGCTGGATCGGGCCCCGGGGGGAACTCCACCCCGACGTGCGCGTCACCTGGAAGTGACGCGGGCATGCTGGGGGCGGGGTGTTTTCCCTTGTATGGCCGTGGCCCCGCCCCCAGCATGCCTGGCGTCCTCCCGTCACTTCCGGGTGACGTGCGTGCGGTGCGTGCGCGCACACAAGTCACCAGCCGGGAGCCCCCCTGCTCCCAGCGAAGATACACTTGGCAACCCTAGTGAGGAACACATGTCTAGGCTTATTTGATCACACTGACATTACAGCCCTTTGAGCCATCTCTCCCTGCTTCCTCATACGCGATTCAGAGATGTGCATAAAGATGTCTTATATTCTTGTCGGGGTTGTTAATACTGGGATTCTTTTGAAATACTGGGACTGTAATTGTTAATACATTTTGTGATTTATGTTTTCATTATGTTTTACTTTGCAAGCTGTCCTGAGAAGGATCTCTGGAGAGGTGGCATGGAAATGTTCTAAATAAATAAGAGGTAAAAATAAAATGGATCAGTATTGCTGAGCTAATTTGGGATTTTGGTTGGCCATTGCAGGAAACAGAATGCTGGAATAGATCCAACAGGGCTCTTTTTCTGTTCTTATGAAAATTTGGTTTCCAGGCTGTGAACAACCTGTGCTAATCTCATGGCACCATTGCTTTTCTGGGACTTAAAGCCAATGTGCCTCAACTCAATGGCCACCAGTTGATCCTCTAGGCAGATGGGATACAATCAGGGAGTGATATCCATTGTATTCCAGCATAAGCATCCAAATAATTTTGAGTTATCAAGCATTCCTCATTGGTAAGGCCAGTCATGGCAGCAGTACATCCTTGAAAAAACAGCACACCAGCTACCATGAATCTTTCTCATTATATAATGCCCACTTCTATTTCAGATAGGGTATGTGAGGACTCTGCCCCTCTTCCAGCTGAGACCCCCTTGGATAGTAGGGCCCCCCTCTTATTTTGGACTTAGTTGTTTTAATATGCATCCCTTTTATAGCCTATGTGCCAAGGGGATCTGAAACTTGGGAAGTCTTATAAAGGTACCTGGGTACCGCTGTAACATTGGAAAATTCCAGAAAAGAAGATTAAGGGTGTGCTGGAATTAGAAACTGATCTCCCCCAGCTCAGAGTAATATTGTTCTCAATAACAAAAGACTTTTCAACACTGGAGACATCACCCAGTATCCTGACATACCTCAGAGGTGTCTGCCCAATCCAAGAAAGTTGCTGTTTTGTTAACCAATGATTGGTTCCTCTTTTTTCATTTTTACTCAATCAAGAAGGGCACTTAAGTCATTAATTTGCCTTCCATCCTGTTTCAGGAACTATCTTGCCTCACCCAAACTTTTGTGTCCATGCATATCCAGTTCACTTCAACCTAATTCAAGTATGTTAATTATGTTGCCTCAACCGGGCACTTTGCACCCCTGCAGATTTGGCTCACAATAGCTTAATCAAGGTATTTTACCCACTTTTCCACATCAAAGTTTGACAGCAGGTAACTTTAAACCAGCTAGTGAGATTCAAGCTTTTTATCCTGACCCAATCCAAAGCCAGGACAGCCAACCCCCATGCACCCTGAGGATCTTTGGTCCACAAAAGAAGGACCCCAGGCACTAGCAAATGGATCCTGCCGCAGGGGGAGGGCGGGCGGGCGAGCTGCAGTGCCGCCTCCTGTGCCCCAGCCGGGCGTCCCGCTGCTGCTCCTGCTGGCTGTGACGCTGAGTCCCTTCAGCCGGGAGGTGGAGGGAGGTGCGCCCAGAGCCACAGCTCCACCTCCATGCGACATGGCCCCAACAGCGGCACCTTGCTGGTCGCCGCCATGCAGCCTCCTCCGACAGCACCCGAGTGCACTGCTCTCAGGAGCCTCTGCCCAGTCCGCCCATCCCTGAGGATGGAGGGGGGAGGGCAGGTGAGCTGTGACATCGCCTCCTGCGCCCAGGCCGGGGGTCCCGCTGCTGCTCCTGCTGGCGGCGGCGGCGAGTCCCTTCCCTTCCCCCACCCTTCTTGCCCTGGCCGGGCTGCGGGCGAGGAGAGGCTGCCGGCGGCTGCCCCTGCCTCTCCTCCCATGCCTCAACGGCCGGCTCACGCTCTAGGCGAAGGCCTAGTTTGCCTAGCGGGTGAGCCGGCCCTGGCAGCGGCTGCTCCTGGACCTCTCCAGACCTCTAGCTTCAGATTACACGTTATATGTCCCTACCCTAAAACTTCCCAATTGTCCTCTCTTCTACCTTTTTTGTGTTGTCTTGTTGGGGTGTGTGTGTGTGTGTGTATGATTACTTGGATCTCAAGTGCTTAATGTAGGTTCTTTATATTTTTTATTTTGTATACAATAATGCTGTTTATTTGTATTTTCAATTATTCTCTCTCACTCTCTTCCTTCATAATTTTACTTTTGGGCATCCACACTGAGATCTACCCTGGTATACACAGACTGCGAGGTCCTGCATTATTCCTTTCTGGAGTCATTTTATTTATTGATTGATTTTATTGATTTTTATCCCCCCCATTCCAGCCTAGGCTGGCTCAGGGCAGCTTACAACCAGGTAAAAAGTTTTAAAGCTAATTTCCCCTTCTCTGGGTCCAGTTTGGGTAAGAGGTATCAGAAGATGCAATAGACTTTGCTGGAGCACTCTGTGACCCCAATAACACTCTCCAGAATCTTCAACAAGAGGCAGAGGTTTTTCAGTACATAAGTGAACATGGAAAGTGTTATATAAAAGGAAACAAATGTGGAAACTTCTGCAACATTGGACAGGTTTTTAAGCATAAGGCCCAGACCTATAAGGTTCTTTGCATCAAACATCCATGATGTTACCAGATGTCACACAACATATTATATTACAAACATCAACTGTTGTGTCTTGATCACTACATCTCACTGCATCCTGATACAATGCTACCATCTTTTGAGACAGTCTTGCTTTCCTGAAACTCTGTGAACAGACTCATTTTTGCAAGGATAACACAAACACCCTGTATTCTCAACCAAAAGATACGGACACTCTAAAGTCATGCTTACACTAAAAATTAAAACCAGTTCCAAGCTATTCAACTCCCATCAGTTATGAAGTTACCTGTTCAATACCAGGCAGGGCACTGTTGTAGAGGGCGCGCGTCTCTAGGTGTTCCGGCACCAGCCCACATGAGCGCAGGAGGTGAAGGGCCATGCGCTCTTTTGGTGGCCCCACGTAGTTGTGTGAAGGTTTTTTGGTTTCTGAAAATTCAGCAGAATTATGTGATTATCTGGAAACCTGCCTCAGAGATCCCAGGGCCAAATACCAGGAAACTTAGTACTCTTAAAGTACATCATGCTGGATTCTCTGATTGGAACTCTAGGCTTATTATTTGTTCCTAAAAGTGGTTTGTGTATTAGGATGGGGATGATATAGATCAAGGTCATTACACTGGAGAAAAGATTTTTTGGAAGTTTTTGTCCTGGTCACTGAAAATGACCTTCCTGGACTGTTTTAATTTCTGGTGGGAAAAAAGGCACAATACAGGTATCTGTCTTTTTCCCCCCTAAAGGAGCTTAAAGCTGCCTTGGAGGGACAGTTATGGAATTTTCAACAGCACAGGTAACAGCACAGGATTAAAACGTTAACCTCTTCACATTGTGCTATCACCCTGATCCAGATTGGCTTCTGTACTGCATTTGAGAGCTAATCACGGAACTCCAATGTCACGTTTAGTTTCACCCTGTCCAATATCATGTGTGTTTTTGGTTTTTTAAAAATTGCAGTTCTACAACAAAGCAATAAGAAAACCTGAGTGTTGTGACTGGTATAAATTATGCAAACTGAGCACCTTTACACGCCACTTTGTTGTGCCCATTTCCCCCCTCCCCACCTCCCTCTGCTACTGAGCTCTTTTAAAGCTTAGGTTGATTTCTGTGGGGCTTGCGTAGGAAAATTTCCCAGTGGATTTATCCCATGGATGAGACTCCTCTATTTCTTATTCTTCTACCCCAGATTTGCCACACATCTCATCTGGCTGCTGGACCTAGTAAGGTGTCTTGGGAAAGGCAGCCATGCAGAGATCATTATGGTTCTGGTTTTTGTTGTTGTTGTTCAGTCGCACAGTCGAGTCCGACTCTTTGCGACCCCATGGACCAGATCATGCCAGGCCTTCCTGTCTTCCACCGTCCTCTGAAGTTGGCTCAATTTCATGATTGTTGCATCTATGACACTGTCTAACCATCTCATCCTTTGCCGTCCCCGTCTTCTTTGACCTTCAATCTTTCCCAGCATCAGGGTCTTCTCCAGTGAGTGCTCCCTTCTTATTTGGTCGCCAAAGTATTTGAGCTTCAGTTTCATTATCTGGCCTTCCAGGGAACAGTCAGGGTTGATTTCTTTTAGGATTGACTGATTTGATCTTCTTGCAGTCCAAGGGACTCTCAAGAGTCTTCTCCAGCACCATAGTTCAAAAGAATCTATTCTTCGGCGCTCGGCCTTCCTTATAGTCCAACTCTCGCAGCCATACATGACTACTGAAAGACTATTGAAAGAGGTAGTCAATCTTTAAAGGTACAATTGTGGTCTTAGGGTACTGTCTCAGTGATGATCTGGTTCTTATAGATCCACATGGGTCAATGCAGGGGTAATTCATGAGGACAACCAGATGGATTTCACCTAGAGAACTGGTGTTGAGTAGTGATGGGCATGAACTGGGAAAATGTGGTATGGTTCATGGTATGCCAGCTTCATGAACCATGAAACATCACAAATAAACCAGTTTCATTTGTGAGGGTACTCCTTTTCCTATGCTAAACCAATCAGTTGTTCCATATCCGGTTCTAACTGTCGCTTCTTGACCCTTATACAGGTTTCTCAAGAGACATGTGAGGTGGTCTGGTACTCCCATCTCTTTAAGGACCTGCCACACAGTCAAAGGCTTTAGCATAGTCAATGAAGCAGAAGTAGATGTTTTTCTGGTACTCTCTTGCTTTCTCCATAATCCAGCGAATGTTGGCAATTTCTGGTTCTGGTTTTAGTTTTACACAAATACCACTTTGACACAGGTGGGCAAACCAGCTTCCCTCTTCCCAAGCCCCTAGGAAGCCTGCCAGCAGTTCCTGTTGTCATAGCTGCCCATTGCTGCCCCACTCACCTCTCCATTCTGGGCTGCCAGTTGGGAGGGGGCAGGTGGTACTTTTCAAAGAGCTGGTTTTGGCAAGGGGGGGCTGTCAGAAAGAAGTCTGGTTTTATGGGGGCAATGCATTATCTTGATGATTTCCTTTTTGTGGGGCCTGCGGGGTCGGGGCAATGCGGTTCACTGCTCAATAGTTTCATAGAGCTAACCACGGAATTGGGGGTGCCACTTGCGAATGAAAAAACAGAGGGGCCGGTCTCACGATTGATTTTTCTTGAGATTGAGCTCGATATGGTAGCTCAGCTGTCCTGCCTGCCGGAGAACAAGGTGCGAGATTTGTTAAGCCGGGCTTCCAGTTTTCTGTCCAAGTGAAAGGTATCGCTGTTGGAGCTTCAACAGTTAGTGGGTCACCTTAATTTTGCTTGTAAAGTGTTGGCCCCGGGCCGGGCATTTCTGCGTTGGCTTTGCGATGCCATGACTGGCCTCCACCTCCCACACCATAGGACTCATATCACTTCCTGCATGTGAGCCGACATGCTGGTCTGGCATGAGTTTTTAAGTGACTTTAACAGGGTGTCCTTTTCAAGGATGGATCTGTGGCTTCAGGCTGAACTGCAAGTGCATTCTGATGCAGCAGATTCCCTGGGCTTTTGGGTATTTTTCCAAGGACATTAGTGTGCAGAAAATTGGCATCCTGATTGGGTTGAGGCTGGTCTCAGCCAGGACCTCAGCTTCCTGGAGTTTTTCCCATACTGGTCACCATCTGGCTTTGGGGTGATAACTTAGCAGTTGTCCACATTATTAACTCTTTGTCGTCCAGGTCCCCATGGGTTATGGCACTGTCTGAGACTTAATATTTTGTTCTTGGCCAGGCATGTTCCGGGGGTGGATAATGGGGTCGTTGACACTCTCTCTTGCAAACAGATGGAGAGATTTTGTCAGCTGGCCCCTGGAACTGATCTTCGTCCGGCAAGGATCCCCCCGGAGCTGTGGCAGCTTGGAAGGTAGAGGCCTTGCCATTGCCTCCAGTACCAGAAAATCTTATGAGTGGGCAATATGCCAATTTGACGAGTTTAGGGCAGAGGCAGGATATCACGTGCTTTGGCCCCTGCCAGTGGAACAGTTGCTCCACTACTGTGTTGATTTGAAAGGTAAGGGGCTTGCAGTGTGTTCCATCAAGGGTCGTCTTTCGGCCCCGGCCTTCACCAGCAAGGCGTTGGGGTACCGAGAGGACATCAATGACCTTCGGCTTAGGAAAATGCTTGAGGGATGGTCCAGGGAGGATGGCCAGTGAGTGGACACTAGGCAGCCAATTTCCCCAGCTATACTCAAGGGCCTGAGAGGGGTGTGGGCCCTGGTCTGTACCTTGGAATTTGAGGCATGTCTCTTTCATGCGGTGGCTCTGGTGGCCTGCTTTGGGGCCCTCAGGGTCAGCGAGCTGGTCGCACAGTCCAAAGGGGATTCCTCCAGCCATGTCTTGCTTATGGCAGACCTTACCATGGATTCCGGATGGGCTTTCATCAAGGTGTGGCGGTCTAAGACCGACCAGCACCAAAGGGGTGCTATGGTCAGTTTGGGCCCCTGTGCGGATCCTGAGCTATGCCCAGTTTCAGCCCTGGTCAGCTATGTGGCTGTTCGGGGGAGGAGTGATGGCTGGTTGTTTCGCCATGAGGATGGCAGTCCGCTTACAAGGCACCAATTTTGGGCAGTGACCACACGGGCCCTATCGAGGTTGGGCTTGTCAGGGGTGAAGTTTGGCACACATTCCTTTCGGATCGGGGTGGCATCCACTGCTGCAGCCATGGGTTACTCTTCCCTGGACATTCAGCGGCTGGGTAGGTGACACTCCGCTGCCTATAAGTCTTATGAGCGTCCCTTTCCTTCCTCTTAGGGGGTACACGGTCATTCCCCTCTAGGTCCGCCCCTGTTTCCTCTTCATGTGTTTTTTTCTGTGGGTTAACTGTTGTTTCCTTCTTAGGTCATATTGGGGCCATTGAGAGGAAGCGGGTTCTCCTCTGTGGCCACAGCTTTGTCTTCTGGGGAGCACATTGGGCACGGAGAACTGCGTTTGGATCTCAGCTGGGCCTCAGTCAGTGGGCCACCATTGAATGGCGGGGGCACCATGGCCTTCACTGGGTGGGCCTCCTGTCTATATTGTTTCAGGGGCCCATGCACCTTCCCCCCGATGTGCTGGTGGTGCACCTGGGAGGTAATGACCTGGGGTTGGGAATCCCCTCCTGGGAATCATCGCAGACCATACTATACTAACCCTTGGCCAACGCACCCAAATGACCTGCGAAGAGCTCTTCGCAAGAACTGGTTAATCGGGAGCGAAGCCGGCTGTTAGTACGCCAGCTCCACCCCCGTGAGTCATGTAGTTGTCCCAGCATACATGTCGCCCCTTCCTCCTTCAATGGAGGCAAAGGTGGACCCCGGCAGTACAGCTGCGCCATCTGCCGGAAGGGCCGGATAGTGCTTTTCTCTGCCCGCTAGGTGGGTGTCAGAATGCAACTTAGGACCATGTTCAGGGGATCTCAAATCCTTTGCCTCCCTCCCTCTGGAGCAATATATTGAGTGACTCACCAAAGTCAGAGAGCTGGAAAGTCCTGTCCATGAAAGTGGCTTTGTTGCCATCTTCGCTGATCTCTGGCATTGGTATGTTCTTGATTCGAACAAAATGCTCCAAGAGCTCGCTGGGAGTCAGCTGATCTCGCCACTGGCTAGGACCAGAACTATGGTGGAGGGTGGGGGTGGAAAAAGGATTAAGGAACAGGAGACATGGCAGTACGGTCCAGCTTACCCAAAATGAAGTGGTATAGCTTTTCCTGGACTGTACCACTTCAAGTTTGGTGTGTGTGTGTTGCAAACTTGAATATTCCCTCATTGGATAACATTCCTTGTGTACAGAATGAAAATTAGAGGCTAGATTAGATCAACACACTAGTTTTCTATATGCAAGGAGAGTGATCAAGAAGCACAAAAATGTACAACACTCTACATGCGTCCTCAAATGGCAAAGTTTTACCACATGACTTCAGTACTGGTCCTATGGGAGGGATGCTGATGTCCCACCATGTAGAAATATTTTTGGCAGCCCCAAATTCTTCAATCTGAACCAAATATGCCAAATTATATGCATAATTATGCACTCATTTTGCATAAATGCATTCTGTTCCTTCTAGCTCTGCCCCACACACGTGGAAGCCTTGTCCAGCCCCTTCTGTTTTACAAGATTTCACCATGCAGTGGCCACATTTTTTCAGATTTCTCATCACAGTCAAAAGCTTTGCACTGGCTTTTTTTAAAAAATTTTTTCTTAGGTCTATTGGACCCCAAAAAATTTGGGATTTACGAAAAATCCCAGGTCCAAATCCTGTACTGGTATTAAGATCTGGGATTTTTTGGAAATCCTGACTTCTTGGGTGGTTCGATAGACCCGATCTGAAAAATACTGGTTAAAAATATTTTTTTTGCACACCCCTAATAAACACCTGAGGGGCTGTGATGGCTCAGAGGTTAAGACGCTGAGCTGTAGAC